AACGGTAATTACTTATTGCCTTCAGTTCGTGCAAAATTAAAGAAGTGTCGAAATATGACATTCTATTTCTTAAACTCTATCTTGCTGTTAGTCCAGCCTAAATTTATTGTGACTAGGGAAATAAAGATCTTCCTCATCGTTTTCCAAAATAATTAAAAATAAATGAAAATTAAAAGTTATATCTTTAATGGGGTAAAAAGTCCTCTTATCATAGGTTACTTGCCCCAATACACGAAACTCTTTTCTTGACTTGCTGACTTTCGCGCACGTTGGTCAATTCTGTGGAGGCAAACTGATATTCTGACCTAAGAGTTCGCGTTTTTTTGTTTTTTTGTTTTTTTTGTTTTTTTTTTTATCCATTTTTAACTTCCTCGCAGTGACGTTTGCAATACAAACAACGACTGAAATATTTTATAGCAGCTGGCAATTGTGTTTGAATACCGCCTAACACTTCAACGGAGAGATATTAAAAAACATAAAAACATAAACTAACCCCTATTGATTCTGATTCCGGTTCTCTTTTACGAACTAGAAGTCTGGTTGATATAATTTGTTTTCTTGCAACGTATTAACTGTTTGTGCAGCGGAACTAAACCGCTCGATGCGACAGAACTAAGAAATGTCAATCATTCCTTTTGACACTTTCGACCGATTTTTTTTTTCTTCTGTGTTTTCGTTTTCGATGCAAATTTTGACCAATCTTCCGAATTTTGGTCGGCGACCATCCCGGTCTCTGTTCAAAATCTTTTCATAGTGATTATAAAAAAGCGATGAAAGCTGACCTCTCAAAGCTGATTCTATTATCGACATTCAGACATGATATTGATTTCGTGCGAACACGAAAAGGATATGGATGATATAGTTCGGCGATTAATTCAAACAAAAGGAGATTTAAACTTTTTAACAAAATACCTTTCCTTCTGATCCCTGGCGAGGAAATTCAATCGGTCATGGACGCCTCATACTGCTGGTGGTGGAGTGACGTCCTACTTAAACCTTACCATCCCGGTGATCTTAATTAACAACGATGACAAGCGTAACCTTATATGGACCTCGATGTGTAAAGGCAAATTGAAGAAGATTCGCAGAAACTTCCCTCTTCCCCTTTTTTAGAATCAATTTGCGCTGCGCTCAGTCTTGATGTAAACAGAAACAGGAGCATGTAAACTTAAGTGGTGGAGAAAGACTCCAGACGTAAAGAATAAATGTTTTTCGCCCGATGACATGTTATGAACACATGAAAACAGATACGGGGTTATGGTTCTGTTTTACAGTTCATGTTAAGTCAAACTGTAGCTATAGAGTGCAGTTTAAAGTGTATGGATTCCTCAATATATTTCTACATTTTAACAATTCGTTGGGTGATCGGGACCTCCGTTTAGATTGTCCAAAATTTGACACTAATCGAACTGTTTTTAAGTGAAGTAACCTCGAAGGAGTCTCTAAAGAAATCCAACTTCCTATGAGTTCAGGAAGTTGTAAGATCTAAGCCAAAAATAAAGATGACCAAATGAACTTCCTTTTGTTCAATAGTTTGCAGTGAGACCACACATCTTCGCCTATGGATTAATCATACACGTTTGAGTTGATCTACCACGGTTTCTCTTCTGTGCTTGTCTGCAGGTTACCCACTCAAAGCGTTGACTGCAGCACGCCATAACTTGCCATATGATTTGGAACAGAAGATAAGATTAGCCATTTCCTAATCAAGGAAACCGAGATGAGACAAGATATGTATCCCTCATCTTGCAACGGTTACCGAGTTCTTTTCCTCAAACAGTTTTAGGCTCTGAGTAGCAGTTTAGACGAGAGACACAACGACAACAGTTATTGCATGCGAAAGCCTGGTACAGGTCAACTTTCCTGAATGTGCAAATACAGAGTTAGTATCAGTAGCCGGCATCTTTTGTTGCTTCACACAGGAAAAACACACCAAACGAAACGTAATGATCGATTTTGTCCTCAATCTCACGCCATAACAGAAAAAGCTTTTGAACATCTGTAAACTCCGTGCACTTCGCAGTAAGTGATATTTTCAATGAATCTTCGGATTGTTTTCAAGTTCAAGGATTGTGAATTACAATTTTATGAAAAACGAAGGTTGTTCTATTATTTCAGTGCTGAAACTAGAACGAAAAAAAAACACCCTTTTAAGATTGTCGTTGGCTTCTTTTTGACCCCACCACTATTCTTAGCAACAAAGGTCGCCATTTCGTTTGTTTATTGCTCGCCAAAAACTATCAAATGCACTCAAAAGCCTAAAATTGAAAAAAAAAGTTTACGGGAATCGACCAATCGAGCAATCGAGCGAGCGAGCGAATGCTATTCCCCACATCGTATCTATAACTCGCTCTTGCGCATGCGCGCAATTCACGAGTTAAAAAGCATTGACTTAATACAGAAGCATATACCCTTGATTGTATGGCTCTACTTGCAACAGACGATTTCTTCGACTGCATGTAAACCATAAGCAGTTTTTGGAATGTAAAACACAAAGTTGTAATTTTACATTGTTCCAAAAGAAATATACATATGAAATTTTAGCTTGGTAAATAACATTACTTATTACAATCTCAGTTTGTGGAGTTGTTTTTATTATCTGCTTTTTTTTCACCGCATCTACATCCGTTTAGAAATCAAACAAGTAGAGGATATTTCTAACTAACTTTATTAATTCTTGTGTAACAGCGGACATGATCTCAGTTGCTGGGTGTTACACAGTTCGCAGAACCACACAACAAAAAACTTGAAATCGAAGACTCAACTCATTTATTTGCAGCGATTCCAGTTATGTAAGGTAAGTTAATTACTCTTTAGCGGCGAAATCGCAATTCACATGAAATACGATAAAACTCACCGACTGTTTCGAGTTTAGGGTGTTTAACATCAACAACTTTTTCCGTCAGCAAAATATGTCCGCATAAAACACGACTAGTTTTTTCTTCGACAAAGCACATGGTCGATTTCCCGGATGTTAACATAAAAATGTAGGCACACAATGGGAGCTTCATTGGCTACAAGCGTCATTTTTTTTGGTCGTTTTTAGGCATATACAGAAACCAGAGCAAATAGAAGATTTTACGAATTAACTGTATAAAATCTATTGGATCTCAACAGCCAGTGGTACAAGGGTCAATTTTGCGTTTTTTTGGAGGATACAGAAAAGTACCAGGAGTGAGACGTGAAAGTCGAGGAGCTTTTCCTCTTGCGCTTGTCTTGCCCCCGGCGCTTTCTTCGCGCTTGACTTGCGCGTGCCCTCGCCTTAAAAAAAAATTCAAAACTACGACACTTTTTAAGAAAACCAATCTCTGAACGGATCGTCATCCCCTAGATCTTCCAACCCACAGTACTAGAGCAGCTGCAAAATATAGGGAGAAGAGGTTCGCCTTTCAAAAAAGAATCTATTCAACGGTGAAAAAGTTTTACACGGTGTAAGGACCTGGCACATAATTGAAACAATTATTAGCAATTGCTTTTTTGCAGCTACTGTACGGATTTTCTCTCTTCGAGAAGTTTCACAGCTTGCGTCGAGTTAATTTTTTTGAATCAATAATGTTTGAATAGATTTAGCTTGAAATCTACTTAAAAAGGTGTTGCTTTCTTAAAGTGCTTTATGACAGATTGTTAATTATTTAGATTGGTCGTCCTTGTTTCCTTCGGCTCCTTAAATTTTGTCACAAATTAAAAGGGAAAAAAAGGGAGAAAAACACAAATTGCTTTTGTTGAGCCAGATGCTACATTTAGAACGGTACTTAGCCACCTTTTACTACCGCTGAAAATGAAAAGAAACTTATTTAGCATTGGTCTATTATTTCATGTTTTTACTCCTGTGCCTGTTTTATGACCAGAAAAGATACAGACGGCAATGATGTTTAAAAGAGGAGGAAACGATTATAACCCGAAAGGTATTACTTTGTTCCATTTTGTTTGCGAAGATAATGCGGTGGAAACTTTCAACTCCTTTGATGTCACCCGTACGACTACACAATTATTCTTAGTGGAAATTGATGAATAGTGAAGACACTTGTGACAACAGCGGTCGTTTTTCCTTTTTTTTTTTTTTTGTATTTTTGCCTCCAAGGTATCCTGCAGTTGGCATATAAGTAACAGATGTCAAATTAGCTGACTTATTAAAGCTGAAAACCTCAACATTTAGAAGACTTTTATTGGTCAAAGAGACCAATTATTAATTGCACCATTCTCTGTTAAGTTTTGAAATATAAACAAAACTGTCCATTTCGGTTAACCCTCGAAATGATCTCAAATCTGTCAGAGGAGACAAATATGTCTCAATTTTAAGATTTTTATTTAACCGCACAACTTCATGGCATTCTTAATTTACTTCATCTTTTAAACGTAAGTAGCACGAATATTTTATCTCCTTTTTAGGTAATGTCATCACTTGACACGAATTTGCGTCGTCTGCACTGAGGCCTGTACCTCGCTAAGGTTTGTGTGGCAAATGCATGTATTTTGATCCTATACACAAAACAAAGAACTTTCTTTCCACAGACAGTTGTAGTTGGCATCAGTTGTTTTTCTTAATTGAGGATATCTGCGATGCGATGTTGTGATGTTTTTTATCAGTTCTCTTATCTTCGTTTTTTTCTGGAAAATAAATTTCAGTGCGCAAATACTCTTAATCAATCTTCATTTCGAACAGACGCTTCCTCATCATTTAGTTTGTGAGGTCGCCTTTTCTTTTAAAAATTACACTGAATAGTAGTCCTTTGGATGGAAAAGTGCACCAAACTATTTGCTAGTTGCGCTTAGAGCGTTGAGAGTCAGAACCAAGAAAACAAGCGCACTCTCTTTTAATCGAGCACCCGAAACCCCTGCAGTTAACCAGGCAAATTACGAAAGTTCAGTTTTAGTCGGGTACCGACACATATAACATAACTAGCATGATATCAAGAACTTTGGTCTATACTTTGACATTATAGACGTTTCTTTCCTGTTCAGGTCGTTCGGTTGGCTCCCACAGGTTCCAGTGTAACTAGATGTCTATCAGTACCAACAATAGTACCTATAATGACACAATCCACTATCCACCGCCTCCTCCATTACAATGTATTCCGTGGTTAGCTTTATTAGGCACTGAATGTCTGACAATTGTCATCCTCAATGCCATAATCATAATTGCATTTGTGAAGCAGCGCCAGCCACAGCGCCGGAGTAAATGCTTGATCATCCACCAGACCATGGTCGATCTATTGGTCGGGTTGGTGCACGGGCCTCTGATGATTGAATGGTGCGGAAGCATTTGTAATCTGTGGGCGTACCATAGATCTTTTATCACTTGGTTACTTATGCTACAAACTGTTTTAGGTTTTCAAGTTTATCAAGTTTCCTTTCTTAACCTTGCTGCCATTTCATTAGAACGAGTACACGCTACATTTCGTCCTTTCAAGCATCGTTTCATTAAGAAATGGGTTTATGGAGTGATTATAACAGTCATTTGGTTGGTACCTACCGTCATGAACTCGATATCATCTGGAATAGTGCCCTTTACTTTTTTCTTCGCCTATTATGCAATAATCGTTTTTGCATTTTATTTTACTGTACTTTTTGTTGTAGTGGTATGTTATACTTCTATTTGTCTCAAAGTCCGTTGCAATCATCATCCTCGCCATCATTGTACAGCCGGTGTTAGGGAAAGAAAACTGACGGGTACTTTATTTCTTGTCACTTTTGAATCGTTAGTAACGTTCCTTCCAGAGATTGTTTACTGGGGTTCTTGGGCTTCCAGTCCCGAGTCTTTTTTCAGCTTTCCCAGTCAGTTATCATTTAATTATTTAATGGTAACAATAACATTTGTAGTGGCCAACTCGTTGATAAATCCCATAATCTATGCTGTACGAATGCCTGAGGTAAGAACAAGCATATTAGTAATAATTTTCCGTAGGGCTCAGAACTTCATAAATCCAATCGATATCCCACTTCAAAATCGATAAAAAGATATTTAAGAGTGCAAAAAAATTTGAGAAAGAATGGAAAGTCGGGAGGATTTTTTACCGATCTGATTATCAGTATCGTCCGACTTTCATTAGTTGCACCGTGATATATACACATGTATATATTTATTTATAAACTCGGTTCAGCAGTAAAAGGTGTTTTAATAGTAACAATGTACTTTTAAAAAGATTGAAAGCGACTGTTATTTGTTAGTGTTAGCAATATGTGAAAATGAGAATTACATAATTATATTGAGCATAAGGTAACAGTTGGTGCTAAATCACAAGATATTCCTTGTAATTACATTTAAAAAGGGTATTCGAAAAATTTCAGGCAAGGTGAAAGATTTTGAGATGGTTATATTTATATAATTTATAAGATGACGATTGCTAGTTTCATGATACCAACATAAAGTGGTTTAACGTAGACACATGAAGGAGATCTTTGCCAGATTAAAATAATATTGACCCACTCGATACGATCTTTGAGACTGCGTTGAAACCATAAGCAATTTTTTGAATGTGAAAAACATCATTGTAATTTTACATTATACCACAAGGAAGTATTCATTTGACATGCATGTAGTGCAAAATCGATTGCCTATTAAAATCTTAATTTGTGGAATTGTTGTCTGGTGCAGTGTTCTTTCTTTTTCAGCCCTAAAACGGGAGTTAGGCGCTTTTTAGGCGGGTATAGAAAACTGCGAGGAAAACGCGAGGTGTGCCGGAAACGTGAAAGACGAGGAGTTCATTCTCTTGCCCGTATCTCGCCTGGAGTGATGGCCGATTAAACGACCGATAACCCCTTAAATCCTGATGAAGCGCACCATGTACAAGACGATCTAAACATTATTCTCAGCGAATCTTAATTACTTAGAAGTATCACCAAGTGTCTCTTCAAGGGAATCACTACATCATCCCTTGCAATATCTTTGCATTCGTTTCGCGTGTGCCTTAAAAAGGAAGAAATAAAGACAACTGCTGTGCAAACCGATCTAAGAACTTACTGTTGGAAGTAAACTAACTTTAAAAAGACACAGATCTTCATATTCTAGACCAACCTACCTGCAGTGCTCGAGCAGCTGCATAGTAAAGAAAAAAAAAGATTCGTCTTTTGCACAAAAATGGATTCAACGGTGGAAGATTTTAAACCATGTCAAGACATGGCATATAATTGGAAAAAATCCATGTATTTGCTTTTCTGTAACTATTGCACGATATTTTTCCTCTTCGGCAAGTTTCTCGAGTACACTTTGCTTATATCATAATAATTACGTACGTCAGTAAACAGTGTTTGATAGAATAACCTTGAAATTTACTTTCTTTTAGTGCTTTGCGACAGGCTGTTTCAGTTATTTGGGTCAGTTGCCTTTGTTTCCTTTGCTTCCGTAAAAATGCTGCATTAAGAAGAAGAAAGAGCTTGAAGAAGAAGGAGCTTGAAGAAGAAGGAGATTGAAGTAAAATAGCTGTAGCTGTAGTCCATCTCTAATATTTTCATGTTACATTTTTACGACGGTACTATGGTAATCGCTTGAAAGAAGGGAAAGCAATTGTAAACTTAAAGGTATCACTTAGTTCAGGTTTTTTTGCAAAAGTAATATGGTGAAAACGTAAAACTCTTATGAGGTCACTTTTATGATTCCACAGTTATATTTTAGTTGATACGAATAAATAGTGAAGTAATCTATAGCAACAGCGCTAGTTCGTTTCTTTTGTTGTATTTTTGCTGTCAAGGTATTCTGTTGTTGGTATATGTTGTTGGTATTTTGACTGAAAATTTATGCTTCGACATGAAGAATTAAGAAGAACAAGGAAACATCATCAGATGACAAGTCGTTTGGGTTATAAAAGTGAAAAACCTCATCGGCCAGAAGATCCCTATTGGTCAAAGAGAGCTATAATTTTGTACATTACACTCAGTTAAGTTTTGAGGGTGAAACAAAGTTGTTCATTTCGGTTACCCCTCTATAACATATTTGCAAAAAAAATTTCAGAATGCTCATTGGTTGAGAACGCGTCAATGTTTCCCAAGCAATGCAAAAAAGTGAAAAAGTTCCAAGACAAAAATACCTAACAAAGTCGGGTGAGTGTTAGGCTTCCCGTAAAATCTATGAAAGAGTACTGAAACGTACGGTGTTAGCTTATACCGCAAGCATAGGTTAGATAATTATCATAAAGGGTTATGCATTAGTTCGGAGACACTTATTTTCACAAAGCCTTGTGTAACTTGAGCGCAAATAGGAGATTATAGACCACGTATGGTGCCACTCGTTGTTTGTCTCTTTGTTCTGAAGAGTATTATAACGAGAGATGTAAAGGGAAAAAGGGACGTATTGCTAAACTTATTCTGGTGTATCCCAACTCTTCCTGAAACACCATGCCATGAAGAAAAGAATCTGCATCAGCCCTGATACAGCCCCGAATAACAAATAAACTGTGGCCAGATGAATTATCAAGTATGTACTTCGGCGCTGGAGCTGGCGCTGTTTCACAAGTGCAATAATGTAAATACAACGATATTAAATGCAAACGATATTAGATACAAATACAATGATATTAAGGATGACTATGGCCAGAGATTCAATGCTTAGCACAAAAAGTTATGGAATACAGGAGGAGGTTGGAAGCGACCGCTGGTACTGGAAGGACGCGATATCATGAGAAGTGCTGCTGGAATATTGGTATTCCTGATTGAGTTCCTCTGGAATTGGTCTATTTCAATCCGATGGATCTAAACACGATTAATACAAATAAAGTAATTCTCGGGTTGCTAAACTAGACAGTTTTGCGCTCAGGAGTGAAGACTAAGATGCATGAATTAAAAGCAACCGGCGAACATTTGCTCGGCCTTAACTGACAAGTAATGCTGAACAACTGCCTCAACTAAAGAGCTGCTCATGGAGTAGACGCTTAATGAAGCTATCTGTGCTTTCTGCTAGAAAGTCAGATTTCTTTTAATGTTCTTCTATTTGAATAAAGGTGCACGTAAATGATTCTCCTTTTCCTACTAACTTTGGAATTTTTCTCAAGATCTTAACAAAAGAAGAAAAAAAAAAACAAAACAGAAGACACAATTCCAAGATAAAGCAGTTGCTCTAATGGGCAACCTTTTGTGAGATGTTATCCAGAATTATTAAATGATGAAACAGAAATGCATTTTAAGTAGATGAGTTTTTAGTCTTTGAACGCTATGTTATTAGCTATTCATAAATTTTAAAATAAATTCAGCTTGAAAAATTTCTTCGAAAGACAACACCTCGCAATTTAAATTATTATATTTTCATTAATAAAACTTTTAAACATTAATTTTTATCGGCTCATGTTGAAAGAAGAACAAGTTTTAGGAAGAAAACTACCAATTCTAATTTAAGTTCTTGTTCGGTGACTCGCTATGAAACTGATGACGAAAAATTGCGACTAACGACATGTGTTGCTAACATTACTAAGTGACAGATAAATGTATTGTTTAAAAAGAAGAAAGAACGCCAAATTTTTAGTCGTATTTTAAGCTGCTACATGCACCGTCGAATTAGCTCGTTTCATTCTGCGTTAAGCAGCCGCTTAGTTACCGTGACTGTTAGCTGTATTAATCAAGCTGTGTTTAGTTTTCCACGTTCAGTTCTTTCATGGTGATTGTACTCGTGAACAGCGTCGACTTTTTATCCTCCGCACTGAATTTGTAATTAAAATATTTTGTTCGGAGCGCGCGACGCTCGGCGATCATTTATGGAAAAGGGCGGTACCTCGGTACCTTTTCCACCTTTCTGTTTATCCTGTTGTTATATAAAAACAATTAAGCGGTGATTCTTCGGAAACCTCTTTTAAGTAAAATCTAATATCGAGATCCTTGAATTCAGTTTTCCTACGAAATGTGTGATTGCTAAGTTGAATGAATCAATAGAACAGGTGGACAGGAAGAGGACGTTTATGAATATCAGCACGTTAAATGACTTCATACGTTACAGCTGCAGAACATATTGTAGTCCAATTTCCTTCAAAAAAATATCCTAAAATAGCTTTAAATCGTCCTTTTGCCTGAGGTGAAAGGGTTAGTTTTAAGGCTAATCCTACAGTTACGCTTTAAATTTCGTGATTCTACTTTTTATGAAATTATTAGCCATGGAAAAATCAACAGAATCATATGAAAGGAACTTCCCCAACGCTTTACTTTCCAATTACCTCGCGCTTCGTTTTATGAGTTGAACTTCAGTTATTATTTTTTTACCCAGGATGCTTTATCTTTTTTAACTCTTCTTGATTTTACTCCGCTCACGACTCTGCGTTTTTAGAAACCAAGAGGATCAAGCATATGTTTTACCTTAGAGGAACTGAACGATTTTCTGACACATGATTAACGATAAAACATTTTTATTTAACAGCACTCAAACGCTGTCTATTAACGCTGGCATCAGTAAAGGGGACGAAAATCTTCGCTCAAACTTGATCGGCAGAGATGAATTCAAAACTGAGTCGAAATATGAAATTAGAGATGGATCTATTTTTATAAGGAAGTTGTATAAATTGTAAAAAAAAGAGAATTAAAAGAGAAGAGTAAATATAAATACTTTAGAGTACGAATCCTATTCTTAAAATAGAACCACTATGTTAGTAAACATATAACGCTTGCTCTTTTTGTGCGCAAACATTATGCAGTAAACAACGGGATATGTTTACTAACCCAAGTGACTTGTCTGAATTTCCGTTTATGAAAAAGTCCAAAACTGAAGATAAAAAATGTTTAATCTGATATCGGGTGGTAACACAAACTCATTCAGCGGACTATTAAGGGACTTAATACTCTAAAAGAATATCACAACTCATGTAAAGAGTTTCGGGGCTTTCTTCTCAACCTGTTGGATAAAACCCGTCGAGTAAGCAAACATCCACATCAATACAGGATGTCTGTTTGATGCAGGTTGTAGTTAACAAATATTAACGTTTTGCTCTGTTACATCCTTAATCTTACTATTGCCGTGGCTACTTCATGAAATATATATATTTTTTCTCCCCTCATTCCTCTTGAGTGCGCCTGTGATGGCGTATCAACTAAGGAAAATTTCAACGTAAATACAGTTGGCCATTTTGTGGCTCACCATCGTTTATCGACGCCGCGGTGAACTTAGCTCTCTTAAGCCGTATACTGAAAATTTGCCAAGCTAGCGTGATCTGGAAATAATCTTAGAACAGTGCAGCTTTCATTAATAACGACAGAAAATCTGTTGTTAAACCTCTTGGAGTTTCAGCTAAACAAAAGCCTCAGTTGTGATCATTAAGTTATTATGGAGTTTGCCAAATACGAGTGTGTTTTAGATTAATTGTTTCATTAAAAAAATTTGCTGCTTTAGGTTGAGTACCCTCATCATATGGTATCCGTCTTAACTGGGGTCTCCAGTTGATGTAATGTTCCAATCTTAGAACAGTTCGTTAGTTCTTTTATAGAACTGGATACCGCTCTTTCCGCCAACTTGCTGTTCATCATTTACATTAATAATAATGCGCCCGATCCTTGTGGTCCCGCTCGTTGTTTGTCTCTTTGTTGTGAAATATGTTTTGTCTTGGGGTTTACCATTACAAGTCAGGCTAAACACAAAACATGTTCAATGACAAAGAATATTTTAATGTGGATTATGAAAATTACAGCTGTAAAGATTTTTTGAATAAACCATTTTGAATATTGTATTTATCGCGTCAAAACTACTGGAAAAAAAAATGAAGCGTCGGTCTGAACTAAAGATTACGAAGTGGATATTCGACCGGATTTCGATGGTCCTGGGGCGTCCTGCCAAATACCAACTTTGATATACCTACCCTAAATTCTGGCATCCGCACTGCATAAAGAATAGGATTTATTAGCGAATTGGCCAAGAATAATGTTAGCATAGTGCCATCAATTTGCAGATAAGTCGCGGTGGACAAGTTTGGAATGGACATGATATGAAGGAACATCATAATGTGCCAAAAAGTAGGTGGTAGAAAAGTTAATAATGATGCAAAGGTGACAAGAAACAACGTACTCGTCAATGTTCTTTCCCTCAGGCCGACTGCACCATGAAGTTGATGTTGGTGACCATAACGAACTTTGATATAAATTGAAATATAACATAGCCACATGAGAACCAGAAGAATGAAATAAGAACTAAAAACCCAAATTATCTTCAATGGCCAATCGGTTACTCCTTCTATTGTACCTTTGCATATTGTTGATAAATATATAAAAGCTATAACTAGTCCATAAACCCATTTCTTGATTAAACGATGCTTAAAAGGGCGATATGTTGCGTGTACGCGTTCTAACGAAATGAAAGTTAGATTAACAATCGATGCAAAGGAGAAAAAAGGACGTATTGCTAAACTTATTCTTGAAAACGTTATACTCCAACTCTTCCCATAACACCAAAGAACGAATAAATGTATCTGCATCGGCCCTGATACGGCCCCGACCAACAAATCAACTATGGCCAGATGGATGATCAAGTATGTACTTTTCCTCTGTAGCTGGCGCTGCTTCACAAATACAATAATGGTGATGATGTTGAGAATGACTATGGCTAGACACTCAATGCTGAGCACAGCAGACCATGGGATACAGGAAGAGGTTGGAAGCGATCTCTGGTACTTGAGGTTTGTGATATTGTGAGAAGCTACGCTAGAGTTGGAAGCCATTATCTTCCACTGAGATTGGTTTACCGCAAGCCAAATAATCTAAATATGAATGAAAACGAAACAGTCTACATAAAACCGGAAAAGGTAACAATATTCCAATACAAGGACTACTGTCGATGATGATCTTTCTATTTGATGGACTATGGATGTATGTCATAGTAGTAGGCGGCGAAGGTCTGATCGATCTTAACTGATGAGTGATACTGAACAATTGCCACAGAACTTTTATAAAGAATCAAATTTTGTACGAATTATCAAATCGTGAAAAATAATGATATTCAAAGACAAAGAGTTTAAATTATTTTCAAAACAATTCAGCGTTCTCTTGTTAACTACTCGAAAACTGGGGCAAAATTAAATAAATTCAGCTTGACAAATCTCCTCGGAACACATCACTCCGGAATTTTGCTTAACTTGATCTTCATTATCAACAATTTTAAACATAAAGTTCTATCGGCTTACCTCAAATGAACAACTAGTTATTCTCGGAGAAAAGAAAACCACCACTTGTAACTTTAAATAGTTGTTGAGTGTGGAGTGAAATTGTAGCAGTGCCTTGCTGTAAAATTGAGAGATGAAAATTGCTAGTGACGAGCCAACACAACTAAATAACAAAAATATGTTGTTTAAAAAGAAAAAAGGAATGCATGCAAAACACGGTCATTCATGATTTCTCAATTTGTAATACAAGAGGCATACCACAAGAAATCTTTAATTTAGACCCCAAAGCTTTTAGGTATTTTTATGGGTAATAAGTTGGGTTATTTGCTACATGCAGAAAGCAACGATCAGACAAAAGGTTCTCTTGAAGCAGTCGTTGGTGATATCTTAACACGATTTACATGAGGTATAATACCTCGGAATCTTGTGGTTTGGTTATACTTAAATAACATACCTCAGGCGAGCAATGGACGATTTCCAAATCTTTTTGTTTCTGGTAAGGACAGAAAGTTATCATCCACGGCGGCACTCTAAAAGCCTGAAATATCACTTGGATTAGTAAAAGGAAGAGAAGACTTCGGCCAAGCTTAGCTACCTCAACTGAAAACACCCGTCGAAATCCTTCAATTTATAAAGTATTCCTACGTGATAGCTAAGTTAAATGAATCAATAGAACAGGCAGACAGGAAGAGGACATTAATAAAAATTAGTAAATGTATCGTATGACCTATTACTTTACAGGTGTAGACTTTATTTTAGACCGCTTTCCGGCATTTTGGCAGGAGTGACTGAATATCTTTTTAAAGTTGAGCTTACAGTATGCTATAGATTCCATTATTCAGCTTTTTATTAAATCGCAAGCCATGAAAACACGCATGGACTAGGACTAAAAAAAACACGGTTCCAATCCTTTTACACTCCATTTACCTCGCGCTTTCTTCTATGATTTGAATTTCGGTTTGTCTTTAAACTAAATGGTCTAGAATAACAACCTTTCATTCTTCTTAATTCATTCTGGCGACGACTCCACCGCTTTGGAAAGCAACATGAACAACGACAATAAAATTTATTTATTTACTTTGGCAATTTAAATTCCTAGCAATCCCTACCCGAAAAATGGCGAAGCTAATCGAGGAAACAAACGTTCTTCAATGCTAAGTTTCACTGCAAAGAGGAAATAACTAGGAGAGCATACACATACAGGAACGTTTTTAAAAAATAGTACGATGAATTACAGAGGAGCCAATTAGGTATTACGTATTACAACCAGAATAAAATTACACTCGAAAAAACAAAAAGAAAGAAAATGAATCTAAAAATGGAATAATTTTCTAAATTTGTCAGCTAAAGTATGGACGTCAACATAAGTATCCTCTCGCGTCAAAATGTTTAGCAGCTGTCTGTGTATACCATTTAAATTCATATTTGGGTAGAAAAAGAAGACGGATGGGAATACTATTCCAGATCCTTGCACCCAGTCTTGAGAAAGAATGTTTCTTATGTTTTGTTCTCGAATGTTTAAGATAGAGATTACCGGCCGCTGAGGACCTTGTATAATAATGGTGTTCTTCTGAAGAATAACTAAATAATTCTGAAGTGTCGGGTGGTGTTAGATCGTTGACAAATTATGCATAAAAGAACATATTGTCTTGAAATAGATCAGATGACGAGGAAGAATGTTTGACAAGTTGACAAAAGGCACAGCGTTAAATTTAAAGGGTTTGAAAAATATTATGCGGTGAGCATGTTTTTGCAGAATCAACGCGTTTTCCAAACTCGATCGGGCAACTTGGCCGCAGACTGCAACCCCATTGGACAAGTAAGCTTGAATAAAAGATCGATATAAGTTAAGCAATACACTGTAGTTGTGAGACAAAATTTCTCAATCTTGATAAAATGCCTTGAGACTTGCTTATCTTAGCTGAAATAAAATTCAATGTGTCGAGTCCGAGATCATTTTGAATTGAAAAGGACACAAAGGTATTTTACATATCCTTTCCTTTCCAGAGAGAGAAGGGAATTAGCGCTACAATAAGAGATATTTATGTTCACTTCACACTTAACACTTTTTTGATACGATCTGAATATAACAAAGTTAGAGTTGAAATGATCAAGCATATCCTTCAGCTCAGAAGAACAGGATGATTTTCTGACATATTCTAAATTTTTGCCCAAACTCGGTCGGCAGAAGTCGAAATATATTTCCATCCTTTTTTTCTTGACAACTTAAAGAAATTAAAAAGGAGACTTAGAAGAGAAAGATAATTATACAGTCTTCAGAGGATGAATCTAATTACTTAATGTAGAACCATTATATTGGTATACATAAACTGCTTGCCTTTTGTTTTGTGCAAACATTTTTTATTAAAACAACGGGACGTGTTTACCATCCCAGATGACTGAAATTCAGCTTATAAAAACGTTTAGAAATGAAGGTAAATGACATTTTATCTTATATCAGGTGGTAAACGAAAAGTCGTTGAAGCGACGATAATCGTTAAATGACTACTTTCTTAAAATGGGAAGAGTAGACGTGAAAGCAGTTTGATAATTCTGGAAGGAAATATCTGAAGCTCCCATTTTTTTCAACTGAACACGATTTAAGCGCAATACAGCTTTCGTGAATTAGGAAAGACCATCTGTTGTTAAACCTCTCAAAGTTTCTGCTAAAAAAATTTTTTTGAGTCACTAAAGGACACAATTGCGGTGATGACATCCGCGTAATAAAGGTGTTCGCCAAATGCGGGTATGTTTTCAAATAAAGAAAAAAGATCGCGACTTTGGCCCAAGTGCGCGTCACATAAGGTGTCCATCTAAAATTGGGTCTGCTTGAAGGAGTATTCAGGTTTTATCATAAAGTTGAGCTGAAAACGGAAGAAGATCTGCTCTGCGTTTTTATCTCTGTGCTGTGATAATTTTCACGGGTATTTTTTTTGTTTTGTTTTGTTTTTATTCCTCAACAGAGCGTATTGCTGTGTTCTTGCGTGTAAAGGACTATGGTTGACTGGAACCCCACAGAAGTAAATTGATCATCTCGCAATAGAAAAAATAAATAAGTGGGTGCACATTCAGCTCAGTCTGTATTTCAAATATATGAATATATGAGTTTTCTCTTTTGATCCCCTTGTTGCTCATCATTTGTGTTCATGAAACTGCGCCCGACCCGTACATAGTACCGCTAGTTGTGTGTTTCTTTGTTCTGAAATGTTATATGTAACTTGGGGTTTATCGTTACAAGCCAGACTCAACACGAAACATAAGCAACAAGAAAAGGCTGTTGACATTCGGCGAGTCGCTTAGCCATTTTTAACATTTTATTTACATTTTCTGATTAAAATTATTGCGAAAAATGAAGCTTCAGCCTGAACTTAAGACTGCGAAGTGGATATTCGACTGTTCGTACTTACTGGCTTCTTTGCCGAGTCAACGAAGCATGGAATCCTCAACTCGTTGATGCCCGCTGTCGTGGCGGTTTAGAAATACGAGTTATCTGAACGGCAATTGCCTGTCTGAAGGAAAAAATGTATTGATTTTCTTACTGAGGATCGAAATACGCTGATCTCCTCAGATTATACGGAGCCACATAATGGGGTGAGGATGTTAAGACCGACAATACATACAGAGTTTAAACGCTGCAAATCTAATTCAAATAAAAGCCTCAATAAACAGAAAAGGTAGAAAGCTTTGGCAGGAAATTACCTCTTGTCGGAAAGCTACGTGACTTTCTTAGGGAGTGCACTTTGCCGAAATCTTCTTAATTACACGTTTTATTCTGTAGTATTAAGAAAAGATGAAGCTTGACATCTGACAATCTTAAGTTTTTAAGTATTATTCTGACGACTGTTTTATGACCAGAATATTTTAAGACTGTTATAAATGCTTAAAAGAAGGGATAGCAATAACAATTGGAATCTGAAAGCAATTACTTAGATTAAGTTTTGTTTGCTGAGGTAATGGAATTCGAATGCCACCAGTATAATTCCACATCAGTTGTTCTATCGGAAAACGGTTAACAATGAAATGACGCTTAGCAGCAATGCCTGTTCGTCTTTTTCGGTGTACACTGGCTGTCAGGGTATCTTGTTTTCGATGTGTAATTCACAGTTCGGACTCAGCATGCCCCTTTTGTACGTTTATCACAAAAAGAAAAGACAAATATTGTGCTTCATTATAAGATGGCAAACAGCTGAGAAATAAAAGGAAGAAAATACAACGACCGAAAAACTTTTATTTGTCAAAGAGCTCAATTACTTAATACATCATACTTTGGCGCGCATCAAAAGATAAATAGTATGTTAGTTTCGCTGTCTCCCTACGTCGATGTCAATGAAGACGGAGTTGTCTCAATTTTATAATTTCTCATTTATCAGACAATTTGGCTTTTATCCTAATTTACTCTGTTATTCAAAGTAAATACTAAAAAAATTATTTTCTTAGATAATAAACGTACGGCTTTTGGGCTAATAATTGACCCTCACACGTTACAACGCTAAAGTCTTCCATGATTGCTGTCTGTATTTAAGGTGAAACGTTTATTTCTTCGACAGCGCATTATTATT